GGCGCGGGGCGCGGGGCGGGAGGAGAGCCCCGCTGCCCCGCCCGCCTGCCCGGGCTGCTGGCCGCCCCTCGCCGGGGCCGAGCGGCCTTTCTCCGAGCCGGGGCAGGCTCTTGGCCTCCCTCGTGGCCCTTTCGGGAGAGCGGTCGCGGTTTTCCCTACTTGGGGCCTCGAGAGATCAGGGTGGCGGTTTTTCTAGGCGATCCCCTGGGCCCGGCCCTTGGTCGGAGACCCGGGTCCCGGGGGGCGCTGCCCACGCTTGGGGGGCAGGCCGGCGGGCGCGGGGGCGCTCGGGGGCGACTTGCAGCCTCTTGTCACTCCGGGCAGCCGCGCCGCCGCCCGCCCCTTTGTTCGCGCGGGTGTGGAAACTCGCGGGGACCTCTCCCGTCCAGGAGTTGACTCATTGCAGAGACGGGTGAAGTGCTGCCTGCGCGATGCCGCTTTGGAGGGAGCGTTGGGAGGAATTTCTTCTAAAAACCATCTGCAAGTGATTATTTTGGTTGCTTCTGGCGGTTGCAGATCCGTCCATTCAGTAACTCTCCACGTGATTTAGTTCCCAGTCATTTCAAAACTTTCCCACTTTTCTGGGTCGGTCCGTGTTTGAAACGTCAGTATTTTATATAGCTGTGCATGTTACTGTATTCAAACTGTATTTTCCAGGCCGGTCAGTGTTGACCCGGGAACTTCTCACAACTCTTGAGGGAGCATCTAGTTTTAGTTGTTGCCCAATGTTGTAATGCACAATCTAGTTTTACGTAATTAAGTAATTTAAGTAATTAAATGCAAGCTAAGAAAAAACCCGATTCCTCCGAAATCGCATGTGTCCCTTTCTGACCGAATTCAAGTTTTTGTTTGCCAGAGCATCCTGGCTATAGGATGGTTGTACAGAGTGTGTTTTCACTGTGGGTTCATCCTTTGTTATGGACAGGCAGCCTGTTGTAGTGGAAAGGGACAGAATGTGGAATCAGCATTCCTTGCTTACCTGTTTGCTGTGCACATGACTTCGCCTCTCTAAGCTTCAGTTTTCTTATTTTAAAAATGGGGGGAACTGTGTACTTCCCAGGTCTGTGTGTGTACAGTGAGAACGTGTGTTAAGCGTGTAGTACAGTGCCAGCCCATGGCAGTAAATATTGCTCTACCCCTTTCCCCCCAATTGAGCTGCAGTTTTTACTTAACTGACAATTTCTAATAAGGAGAACCCTGAGTTTTATTAGGTCTGGCGAACTGACTGAAAGGGCAGCATCGATTGCCTAAGTTTTGATGACCTGTGTCCCTCTTGTGACATAAGGAACTGGAGTTTACACTTACAGAAGTGAAACTTGGATTTCTCTTTTTGCAGTTTGGAAAACTAGGCTGGAGAATTTAAAATAACTCTGGCTTATATAAACCAGCTTATGTGCATAGAAAAATGTTACGTGGAGTATTTGATGTAGATAGACGTCTATTAAGGTACATTCAGGGTGTGTTTTGATGAAGTTCAGCATATTGTGTTACTGTATTTTTGGATAGTTGCACTAGCTTAGTATTAGAATCAAGAGGTGGAAAATGGTCGGGGTAGACGATCTGTAGGGATAGGGGTTTTCCTGGACTTTGAACTGTGAGGAAAACCTGCAGAGAAGGAAGAGGGTGGATATTCAAAATCAGACACAGGCAAGAGCGAAGGTGCAGAGTCAGGTACTTTCACTGCGTTTCTCAGTGATGGGGTTGAGGAGTAGACCCTCTGGAGCACTTGGCTGATTTTGGCAGTATTAGGTCAGGTTAGAAATGCTGGATTAGATAGGTTTTGGAGGGTTTGAATATTCAGGAGGGGAGGGCTTTCACTTTTATCCTCTAGGCAATAGGGAGCCATGGAAAATTTTTGACATAGAGTGATGTGCTAAGTGGCTGAATCTGCACAGTGGGTTGGAAACAGGAAAGACTGCACGGTGAGAAACCATCAGGGAGTAGGTGCATCTGGATTTGAAATAAAGTGCTAGTTGTGGGCAGGTGAAGGGAGGGATTAATGTGACTGGTGTTAGGGAGACACGATTGATAGGACCTGGTAATGAACGATTATGAGAGATGAAACAGAAGGCAGAAATAACTTTCCGTATTTTGAGCCTGGGCAAATGATGCTTGTGTCATTGACAGAAATAAAACAAATGGGAGGTGGAACAGTTTGTGGAGAAAGTGAAGGTTTGGCTTCAGCTGTGTTGAGGTGACGGGGAATATCCATATGAGACTGTTTAGGATTTAGTTGATAACATTTCTTTTTACTTGTTTTATTGGACGTTTTCAAACAAAAGTTGAGAGGTAGTGTAATAAACCCCAAGTTTCTATCACCCACCTTCAATGATTTTCAACATTTTGCCATTCTTTTTCATCTCTTTCCCACCTATTAGGGGGAGGGTGGTAGAGTGTTTTAAAGTAAATCTGAGGCACTGTGTCATTCATTTGAGGACTTTTCCCTTTCCTTTTATGTCTATCTGTCCCTCAATGTGTTTTTTTTGGGCACCTCACATCTGTTGCCAATCTTTTTTTTTCCCTCCTTCTTCTCCCCCAAACCCCCCAGTACGTAGTTGTCTATTCTAGTTGTAGGTCCTTCTAGGTCTGCTGTGTAGGACACTGCCTCAGCATGGCTTGATGAGCGGCGCTAGGTCCATGCCCAGGATCCGAACCAGCGAAACCCCTGGCCACTCAAGCTGAGTGTGCAAACTTAACCACTCAGCCACGGGGCTGCACCCTGTCCCTCAAATTTTTATTTGTGAGTTTATATTTTGTACTAAAAATCACTTTTTGCTTAATTCCAGGATACTACAGGTTTACTGTGGGAAGTTAGGGAAATAGAGAAAAGTATTTGGAAAACAAATCATCTGTAATCCAACTTTGGAGGCATAACCACTGCTAACATATGACCATGGTGTATTTGTAGTTTTGTATCCTGTTTTATTTTTTCATATCTTAAGTCTTCAAACACTTTTTATTTATCATAAGTAAACACTTTTTCTACTATTGGGAATTCAGGTTTTTAACATTTAAGCTGCTTTTTTTTTTTTTTTTTTTTAAGATTTTAAAAATTTTTCCTTTTTCTCCCAAAGCCCCCCGGTACATAGTTGTGTATTTTTAGTTGTGGGTCCTTCTAGTTGTGGCATGTGGGATGCCACCTGAGCATGACCTGATGAGCAGTGCCATGTCCGAACCCAGGATTTGAACTGGTGAAACCCTGGGCCGCCGAAGCAGAGCGCGACCTTAACCACTCGGCCACGGGGCCAGCCCCTAAGCTGCTTTTTATAGGTCTTACTTTCCATTTCTTACAGCCACTGTTTGACGTTTGAGGAACTCAGATCCAATGTTCTGGTGTGTGTAACGTTAGAATTGAGCATAATAAGAGCATTATTTTGTGAAAATCATTTGTTGAAGGAACATAAATGAGAAAATTGAGTTGTCTATTGAGCAAACTTTAAGGAAATAGCTAAATTCCTTTGAATTCAAAGGTAATTCTGCCTTGCAACTGGAATTGCTTTGTGAAACTTAAAAACAAGTAATTGTTATAAAAGTATAATAATTCCTTATCTTGATCATCAGATAATTACATTGTCTGATTTGGAATGTGATTACATTAATGCTAGATCATGCTGCTCGAAATTAAACAAGGTAAGACTTTTTTTTGCTCATTTTCTGGCATTGAAGGCAGTTCTCCATTTTCTGTGTTAGAGATTATTACAGATAATCAGCATGTGTATATTTGAATGCATATTGTCTCTTAGTTATGAAATGTTGGTGGAATTACTGTGTTTTGCAATATTTAAGATCACGAAACTATGATAGAAGACCTAACTTGAAATTTTGTTTCTTTACTCTGCTTCTTCCTTGTCCGTGGACAGCATCTTTACTCAGACTAGATAAAGGTTCATTATGAGGGTAATTATTTTTGTCTTCTGTGTCCAAACCCCCTCCTTCCTGCTCATGGAAAAAAAAGCTCAGTCTTCTTTTGTTGAATGAAAGGCGACCTTCTTTTCGTGGCTTGCTGAGAAATGGAATTAATTAGCTGACTTATTTTAAGGCCATTTTACGTTTAGCGTAGAGTCCGAACTTGATATTGGCAAGAATATTCTGAATTGCAGAGCTTGCCTAGATACAGGGAAACGAGTTGGTCCTGATTCGTTTTGTGAGATTAGCAGGCAGAAAAGCTTTCTGGGTAAAAGTTCGTATAAAATTACAATGCCCAGAGCTGCTTTTGGCTTGACTTGAAAATGCTTCCCCTGTGTCTTTTCACCTCGTCACTCTGCTTAAGTTTCTCTGCCCAGGAGGGAAATAAAGTTACACTTGGAAGTTAAAATTTATAGTAAACTATACTCCTCCTCAACTTTATTTATTTAAAAATTTCCAAAATGTGGTTTAATACAGTGATAGATTTAATAACAGATTTTGTGTTTATGTGCTATGCCTTAGGAGTTTTTTTTTTCCTTGAGATATAATTGACATATAACATTATACTAGTTTCAGTCCTCCTTATCTTTAGAAGAATGATATATATCTTTTATTTGATAGAATGTATTTTCTTTTATATTTCTTGCTTACTCAGTATTTTAGGTAGGTATTTTGTGGGCTTTCTTTTATAAAATAAAAATCTAAACGCAAAGAAAAGATTACCTGGATTCTTCTACTGAGAAAATTACTCCTTCAATTTGAAGTTAAGTGGTTTTTTAATGTTGATTTTTATTTTTGTGAAATTATACTTGCACACAGCTAAAGTCAAAGGTACTACAGAGCTTAGAGTGAAAGACAGCAGCCTGTTCCTGACCCCTTTAAATTCTGTCTTGCTTTTTTAGGGGCAACTGATTTCAACACTTGAGCTGTTAATTTTTTTCTGGTATTTATGTCCATATTTCTCTTTTATATGGTTGTACTACTACTTTTTGATTTATCAATTTAAAATTTTATCTCTTGACTTCTGAGTCAATATGATAGATTTAGTTCTTAGCTCCTCCCTTCCCTAAACATTCCTCTTCTGTTTTTCTGTTTTCCTTTTTGGGTTAAATTGATATTCAGTGTTTACATCATTATGATGTACTGTTGTATTATAATAATGCAAATATTTTTTATTGCCCAGCCTCATAGGAGACAGTGATCATATTTTTCTTTCTTTTATTTTTTTCTGGATAGCCTGTCTTTTCCAGAGTCAATAATTGCTACATGTCTTTATTTCCTTAGTTTTCTATTTGCGTGTTGCTAGGTCTTTTCAGATACATCTTTAAAGCCCTTCAGGTCTGTTTTCTCCATGGTTCAAGCATGTTAAAGTAATCTGTCAGTTAAGTTTTTTCCCACGTGACCTCCATCCTCTTGCTGTGCTCAGGACTGGTTGCTTTCTAGGCCTGTTTCACAGCTTCTCTCCTGGGAACCCTGGTCTCGATCCCCTGCTGCTTGGAAGACAAGACTTCCTTTCTCTTGGCTTACGACCTCATTTTGCTGGAGTAGCTTCTTGAGATATGGCACATGGGAATTAAATGTCGAGACCTTGCGTGTTTGAAAATGTCTTATCCTTACCCTGGCTTGATAGTTTCTCTGAGTACAGAGGTCCAGGTTAGAAAAGATTTTTCTTTCAGAGTTTTGAAGACATTGCGCGACAGTCTTCTAACTTCCACTGTTGTTCAAGTTGGGAAGTCTGGTGCCATTTTGATTTCTTACCCTTTTTATGTGATCTCTCATTTGTTTTTTTTCCTATCCTCTCCATAAGTTTTAGAACCTTCTCTTTATCCTTGGAGTTTTGGAATTTTGCAGTGGTATACTTTTGTGTACCTTTGTTTAGGCTTTTCTCATTCATTGTTTTGGACGTCTGATAGGCTCTTGGAATCTGGGAGATTTTCTCCTATTCTTTCTTTGACAATGTCTTCCCCTTCTTTTTGCTCTCTTCTTTTTTAACAGCTTCCGTTCATAAGATAATTCATCTGCTGGATTGATCTGCCAGTTCTTTTTTATTTTTCTTTCTTTTTTTTTTTTTTTAAAGATTGGCACCTGTGCTAGCATCTGTTACTGTTCTTTCTTCTTCTTCTTCTTCTTCTCCCCAAAGCCCTCTGGTACATAGTTGTGTATTCTAGTTGTAGGTCCTTCTAGTTGTGCTATGTGGGACGCCGCCTCAGCATGGCTTGACAAGCGGTGCCATGTCCGCGCCCAGGATCTAAACCTGGGCCATTGAAGCAGAGCACGTGAACTTAACCACTTGGCCACAGGGCTGGACCCTCCTTTGGTTTTTTCCTATCTTTTTGTTTTAGGATTTCCTCTGCTTTATCTTCTGGATTTTCTAGTATATATGTCATTTATGTTGTTTTTAATTTCTAAGAGATTTTTGTTCTCTTAGTTCAAGTTTGACTTCTTAGCCTTCTGACAATATTGATTATAGTCATTTTGAAATTTCCTTCTGCTTCGTACATTATATCTGTTTCCTCCAAGATCCTTTCCATTTGTTTTTCCCCTTCTTTTATATTGGAGGCTTTCCTCAATTTCTGATACATGGCTATCTATTCATCCTTGAGGGTAAAGCACTAAAATACTCCTTGGAGCTCGTTGGGTGGTCCAGGCTGTTGACTGGTGGGTAGATAGGCGTCACTGTAGGGTAGTGGGTGTCTGCCTGGCCTTTTGTGGGGGATATTTGAAATCGGCAGTTTTTTATAGGTCTCTTCTCTTGTGCCATTAAGCTGCTCCAGAGGAGACTCCTCCAAGCTCCTGCCTGGGGGATATCGCCTGGTGCTAGTGTCTGAGAACAAGTTAGGGGGAGAACACATCGTTGAGGAGAGAAGAGAAAACAGACAGAGGACTTGGTGGAAAGTCAGTAAACTAAGCAGAAGAAGGTTGAGTATCGCTTCCTGAAACTTTTGTTTTAGGTTTGTGTCTGTGTAAAACAACTCTTTGCAGCCCACAGTAAGAAATCCAAAGCTCGGCAGCTACTGCTGTGTGAGTCTGTGAGCGTGGAGAGTGGTAATGGTAACATGGGCTGACATTTATTGAGTACTTCCTTTGCATGTGGTTACGTGTGTTATTTCATCTCATTCTCTACAGCAACTTCATGAGGTGTGGGTATTATCTCATTTTACAGATGAGAACATGGTGGCCTAGGGAGGATGGGTGACTTTTCCTAAGATTGCACAGCTAATTCATGGGCTAAAGTGGGGGTTCCACTCCAGGTGTGTGGACTTTGCAGCTCACACTTGTAAGCATTATGTTAAATTGGTTACACTTCTTAAAATGCATGTTGCCTATTAAAAAGTTCCAGTTAGGGCCAACCCCAGTAGCCTGGTGTTTAAGTTTGGTGTGCTCTGCATTGGCGGCCTGGGTTCAGTTCTTGGGCCCAGACCTGCGCCACTCAGTCAGTGGCCATGCTGTGGTGTTGGGTCACATACAAAGAGGGGAAGATTGGCAACAGATGTCAGCTCAAGGTGAATCTTCCTCAGCAAAAATAAATAAATAAACAAATAAACAGTTCCAGTTGATTGCAAATTGGGTATAACGCCCAGAGAATCCCTTCTTGTTTGTTTACAAAGTAAGTATCTGATATATAAATGCAAGAGACCTAGGGCCAGTGTATCTGGGTCTATACTACATTGCTCTCCCACTGAGTAGATGTGTGACCTTGGGCAAGTTACTTAACCACTCTGAGGTTTATTTTCCTCATTTCTGTAAGTGGGGAGTGCCAGTTTCTGGCTCCATAAATATTATCTGTTAGCTTCCATTAAAAGAAAAATCTCTACTCACAGGAGAGGAAGATTGTTGGTGAATTAAGAACCTGCCACAATCGCTGTTGATGCATGAGCACTGGAATATTGCTCAATAATCAGAGAGCGTAGATAAGGACATTGGGCACTAGAAAGCCAGTAGGCTGGGATTCTGGTATCCTAGTTCATTTTCATATTTGTTCAACTCTGAGCTGTTATTGTATGCTGTTAAAGTACCTTTTTTTTTGGTGAATGTGAAATGATTTCCCTCAGGATTCTGGAGATTAAAAAATTTTTAAGATTGATATTCTGACTTGAAAGGCAGCATGTACGTGGGTATGAATCAGTCCAAATTAGAGTAAGAGGCTTTAGCGCAGATATTGGAATAGAAAGTAAATACTACTCTCTTTTCCCCTAATTGTTATTCAAACCCGCTTTAGTGAATGGATGAAACTTTGCTTAGGATAAAACGTAGTTGAAATTCAAGTGCATTATTTTAAAGCTCTGCCCTGATGTATTGTCCTGGAATAAGCAGTTGCAGCAGTCTGCAAATCTGGGACATCTGAGTCTAAAAATAGTCTTGAAACACTAGTTTGGAAGTTTTGTGTACATTCATTGATTTAGCTTCAAACAACGTGTACCTTCAGGAGGAACACAGCAGTGAGGTGTAATCCTCTGTTCTTTCCTTGCAGTGGGTCATTCCGGAGTTGATTGGCCATGCTATTGTCACTGTATTGATGCTCATTTCATTGCACTGGTTCATCTTCCTTCTCAACCTGCCTGTTGCCACTTGGAATATTTATCGGTGAGTATAGTTTATTTACTGTTTTGTGTCAGGGCAGTTTAAAGAAAATGTTTTTTTAAAAAAAATTTTAACAGCTTCTCTTCTCTAATAAAATATATGCCAGTCATAAAATAAATGATAGCAGAATGTTTTATTAAATCAGGATAAATTTTTATACACTTTGGTATTCTTAGCAAGTGGCAATTTGCGTGGCTCAGTCTTACAGTATAAACACAAATTTGCATGTGTACATTTTAGAAATATGTGACGTTTACTTGTGATGTCTAAAGACTTGTGAAAAGTTTTTCCGTTGTCTTGAGTATCTTTTTCCTTTTTTCTTTTTTTCCCCCTAAGATTGGCGCCTGAGGTAACGACGGTTGCCCATCTTTTTTTTTTTCTGCGTTATCTTCCCAAATCCCCCCCAGTACATAGTTGTATATCTTAGTTGCAGGTCCTTCTAGTTGTGGCTGCCTCAGCGTGGCCTGACGAGTGGTGCCATGTCCGCACCCAGCATCTGAACCAGCGAAACCCTGGGCCACCGCAGCAGAGCGCGCGAACTTAACCACTCGGCCACGGGGCCGGCCCCTCTTTTTCCTGTAAGAATGATCGAAAGCCTGAGAATATAAGATCCTTGCTTTTTATATCTGCAGTTTTAATTAGAGTATACTTGGAATGCTCCAAAGAAAATTTCATTTTAAAGCCTGCAAATTAGATAACATCAAAATTGTGACTTCATAAATTTAGGAAGTTTGTTCAAACATTGCTCAGTGGAAATACTAATTGGTTGTAATTTTGTAGATGGGTTATTGTACATTGCATATTTTCTTGTGAAGAACTGTGGAATAATCTTGACAAACCATGGGTTATTTTTATGTTAGTAGGTTGCTGCTCTGCTAAATTTTTAGGTTTCATTTTAATTTTATTTATATCCAGGTTTTTTTTGGGTAAAATCATTTATCGACTGATTTTTAAGTGTGACCTTTTTGAAGTGCAGGTAGTATAAGAAGCACGTAGATGAGAGTAAGGAGTAAAGGAGGGCTGGAGGAGGATGGGGAAGCGTGCGGAAGGTAATGGAAGGCAGTAGAGAGGAGGGAGTGGGTAGATGGGGGATGATCTTGTAGAGGTCACACACTGGAGCCTGAGCTAGGGACAAGCCTTTAAATCCCTGAGCCTCTTTCCCAGAGGCTGGCTCCAGAGGGGTGGAGCTGTGTTTCTTTTAAGTTTCTTATTGCTCTCGCCTGACCATCCCATAGCACAACACGTTAACCTGAGCTCAGCACTGAGAACACAGACTCCTTACGCTTTGGGTGAGGCGCGACCCCACACAGACTTTCAGCACAGCTCAGTATCCCTGTGGTCCCACTAAGTGGAACACAAATTTGGGAGTGAGAGTGGGAACCTCTGAGACTGTGGATCTTAGTGATGTCCCCGACCACACCATCAGTCAGCTCTACTAGAAATGAAAATTTGCTAGAGGAAGAGCAAGCTCTGGCATGGCTCCTTCGTCTAGAGCACAGACTGACGGAAGGCTCTACGGTCTTACTTGGGGCAATAAAGTCCATAGATTCTGTTTCCTGTAATTATAAAGACAGACGTCGTGTGTGTTTATTGCCCTGATAATGGCAATGATAGATTGTCTGCTGGTCACAAATTTACTTTCTATTTAAAAAGGTTAAAAAATATCAACAGATGGATCATTTTCTCCTTTCAGACATCTGTACTTTATGCTAGTGGGGATACAGACATATAGGAAGTGGACTCTACTTATCATAGGACACAGAGGCAAAACATGAAATAACAAAGTAAGCTAGTTAAAATAAGAAGTGGGCTGAGGCAGTGTAAGAGAAGTTACCAGATGAGTGATGAGGATGCTCAGGTTGGGAGGAGAGTTGGGTTACTGTGGACTGGGAGTTTCAAGGAGGTCTGAGCAGAGCCCTACAGGATGGATGAGGTTTGACAGAGAGGAGTGGGGAAAGAATTCTCCAGGGAGCGAAGGAGAAGGGGAGGAGTGGAAGGGAAAGCTTGAGCAAACACACAAGGCATATTTAAGGACTAATTAGGTTGAAATCATGTAGATGAGGCAGTAGTAATAGACAAAGCTAGAAATGTCGATTGGGTCACAGAGAACCTTGAACGTTGGTCCAAGTAGTTTATGTGTAAATATGAGCACTGGTAGCATAAAGTTCAGCCATTTAAAGTATAGTATTCAATATATTTTTAGTGTATTTATAGATTTAGGCAGCCATCACCACAATCTATTTTAGAGCGTATTCATCACCCCCAAAGGACGCCCTGTATCCATTAGCAGCTTCTACTCCCTTCCCTGCCCTAGGCAACCACCAGTCTACTTTCTCTTCTGGACAGACACACCAAAGAGAGCAACATGTGGCCTTTTACGACTAGCTTCTTTCACATAGCATAATATTCAAAGTTCATCTGTGTTGTGGCATGTATCAGTACTTCATTCCTTTTTATTATTGAGTAATACTCCATTGTATGGATGTACTACATTTTGTTTATCCATGTGCAATTGGTGGGCATTTGAGTCGTTTCCACTTTTTTTGGCTATTATGAATAATTCTCCTATGAACATTCACGTGCGTGTTTTTGTGTGAATGTATGTGTTCATTTCTCCTAGGAGTTGAACTGCTGGGTCATATAGTAACTCTGTGTTTAACCCTTTGAGGAACTGCCTGAGTGTTCAAAAGCAGCTGCACTATGTTACATTTCCACCAGCTGTGTATGAGGCTTCCAATTTCTCTACATCCTTGCTAACACTTGTTGTGTGTTGTTTTTTTAAATTTTAGCCATCCTATTGGGTGTGAAGTGATATCTCATTGTGGTTTCAATTTACATTTCCCTAATGACTAATGATATCGAGTATCTTACTGTGTTTATAGGCATTCCTATATCCTCTTTGCTCTGTATGTTTTTGAGTAGCTAAGTTGACTCAAAATAAATGCTGGTTTGGGAAGATTTTTTTGGAAGCATTATGTAGTATTGATTAGATGGAGAAGAGCCGGGAGGTAGGAAAACCATTTTAGACACTGGAGTAAGATAATATAGTGCTGGAACAGGGTTGTGATAATGGGAATGGAAAAGATAGAGCTATATAAGTGGTGATAGGAAGGAAGAATGGACAAGAGTTTGACATACCGCCTATGAAAGATGAGGAAGAGAGAAGTCAACTGAGTAAGAAAATGCTTTTAAGGACCACCAAGAAAATGGTTAACACTCCTTCCTATTAGATAACCTAGAAGTCAGAGAAGGATAAGACTCTGAGTTGAGACATTATTCAGTTATTCAAACGTAAATACACTCTTTCAGCTATAGATAGGCTACTAAGATTTGGGGGAGAATTTAAGACTTGTGGAACTCAGAGAGGCATTTGCATTTCGCAGAAGTGATAATTGAGAAACTGAGTGTATGGCAAGAATGAGGAACCCAAGGTTGCACTAGAAGAAGCTTGGACATGGGAGTAGCAAGAGGTCATGAACAGGGCTGGGTTAGGACATGTGTGTTGCACAGATGATGCAGTCTGGATGTTGGAGTCCAGACACTTAAACTCATTGGTCCCCTCAATGTAAGCCCATTTCCTTACATGCAAAAGGAATCATTTGGGGAAGAAGAAGACTATCGTTTGTAACTGTTATATACACGTGATATGAAATAAATATGAAATGTTATACGTTACCTGAAGAGCCTGAATGACTCCATAGTATGTTAGACATAGTATCTTTAAGATTTTTTTTTAAAGTTCGAATCTTCTCCATCTGCGGGAACACTGAGTTGAACTGTTTAGTTTGGAACCAGGGGCATCTTCTGGTGCCCTTTACCTTCTGTATTGATCTGCAGCCCTAATCCTATCCGCTTACTGTGGTCATTCCTCCACCACTATAAAAGGTACATTTCTTATTTGTCAGAATATTATTAGTATTAATAGTATTAGTATTAATCTGTATTTTTTAAGAGTTATGTAAAGTTACACATTGCATTTTGAGTTTGAACTATCCATTTACTATCTTAAGTGAAGAGGAATTGTATTTTACCACAGCAGCATTTATTCTAAATGGTTTCTGTTCTGTCCTCTTTAAATTGCTCTCTTAAGGTAGGTACCATTTATAAACCATGCAGGTTGAAACGTATTCTCTGTTGATCAGCAGGAGCACCAAAGAGGAGGGTTCTATTGTGGACGTGGACTCTCTCTTTTACTGTCATCTGTGAAATGGGAATAATTCTGTTTGACACTGCTCTTCCTTATGAAGATGTGAGGATGAAGGGAATTGCATTAATTAATTTAGAACTTTTTAGATAAAGACATTTCTAAGAACTTGATAAAATCGGTTTGGTTTTGGGCCCCCTTCACTTCTTCTAGTGGAAGACGGCTGTGGGTTTGACTGGTTCAGGAGTTTTCTACAGAAGATGGGTAAAAGGGTCTCAGTGCAGAAATCATTGTTCTCTAGAGTGTTACTCTTTTTTCAGAGGGCAGAAAATTACACCCCAAGTTAATAGTATCATATCTTTCAAAGGAAAACTAAGTGGTGGCTGGTAACATTGTCATAATACTCTGGCCATATTTGGTCTGAATTTAAGGCTGCTATGATTGGTTCACTTTTAAAGGTTGTTTATTAATGGTTACTTATTTTTGAATATTTATGCTGATGATTTGATTTTCCTTCTAATGGGTGTGCATCCTTTAATTTCTCAGGTTCATTATGGTGCCAAGTGGTAACATGGGAGTATTTGATCCCACAGAAATACACAATCGAGGGCAGCTGAAGTCACACATGAAGGAAGCCATGATCAAGCTTGGGTTCCACTTGCTCTGTTTCTTCATGTATCTTTATAGGTGAGTTTACAGCACTCCTGGCGTTTTCCTGGGTGCCGCGCCTGCTTCTGACAGGTGACATGTTACTGTACGATAGGATTTTGCATTGACATTACAGAGCTTTTGGGGATCATGCGAATTTCTTGTGGCTGTGTAGACTTTTAATGTGTGTCATTGAAGCAGCATAGTGTGGATCTGACCCACGACAGAGTTACTCTGTGGTCTCAGTTATTCCTGAGCTGTTGAGGCTCTCAACATGCTTAAAACTGTCTTTGCCATTCTTTTCCTGCCTTCGTATCCAGCTGTGAGGCCTCCCTGCCTGTTAGAAGCATTAATGCATGTACCCCAAGAGACTGCTGCACTCGTGGGTCTCCTGGGGACCAGACCACTGGCAGCAGCCCTCAACAGCTTGTCTCCATGTTGGGCTGGTCTTTCTTGGCAGTAAGGAATTAGGTGTGATGCGAAGTGGTCTGTTCTGGCAAACTTTTATCAGTCTTCCGGTTGTAACAGATAGGAAGGAAGAATTCACATGAAGGATTGGCTGTCAGACACTGGAAGCTTTCTGCAGTCCTGTTTTAGACTTAAAGTTATCACCTTATGTTTGAAGAGAGAAACATGCCGCCTTTTCCTTCACCTATCATAGACCCATAGAATAGAGCAAAGAAGAGGGAAAAATTGTCATATATATGACAATTTGATTAAACCTTTAAGAATCTAGATGTCAGGCTTAACGTTTGTGTCCAAGCTTCATTAGATCATTCCTATTTTTCCCCAGGTAAATTTTAATTTTTCACATAGGCATAAGGGCTATTAGGAAAAACTGGTACTGAATACACTTCTGTCATTGAGAAGATTGTTAATAATTAGAAACTGTATAAAAAATTGCTATTTTGTCTGAAATGGTTTAGGAGTCAGAGCCATTTTAGCCTCTGCCTGAAAAAGCAAGCTTCCTAAAATCCTTTTCCTGTGCTCATTCCACCCATTACCATAGATGAGATCGAAATTAGAGTTTAGAGGGTTTCCTTTTCACAGTTTATCTTACTTGCTTTTCTGTATTTTAAAAACTAGGACAGAAAAAGCACACTGGCATCAGTTTCTGGTTCTCACACTGTAGTTCACTGCCAGTGTGCGTAATTGTTAATCCTGGTATTAAAGATAAAGACTGAAGAGCCAAAATACTCAGTATTAAGACACACCTATTATCATTTTTATTACTTTTTTTAAGTCAAACAATATGATGGTCTCTTTATCATCATATATTGTTCCTTTATATTTGTCTGTTTCTGAAGAGACAAAAAACGAGCTGGAATCAGCCTTGCTCAGGGGTCCTTTCTTGAGCCTCCCACCCCTCCAGCATTTAAAAATGCATGAGTTTCTTAGCTCTCAGTCGTGAATTTAAAGCAATGGGAAGATGGACTGAAGACAGGATTGGAGGAATCAGGAAGCATTTTGGGGCACGTTTAAGGTGTGCTTCTTTACAACTAAATAAAAGATATACAGCCTGTGTAATTGGTTTGAGTAGCTGCATTCCTCACTGGCTGTGTCCTTTCTTTTTCCTTCTCTTCCCCTTCTCTCCCCTTCCCTCCTCAGCTTGTCATTTTTAGCCATACTGCTATCAGCTTACCCCTTGGCACCACCCAGACTCAAGGGATCAGGATGAAAGAGGAGTCTCAGAAGATGTCCTTGTAGCACTTTCCTCTTAGGTTTTGGTTGCTGTTGTTTCAAAGCAGTTTTATTTCCAAATCGTCAGATTTCTAATGCAGGGGTTTTATGCTGCTCCCCTCTATCGCCTGCCACAGCTTGCGTGGTGCCTTGCACATAGCAGACATTCAGGGTTTATTAAATAGAATTAAAGGAAAAATGCCTATGTTCTTTAGAGGTTGGTGAAATCTGTACCTTTGGTTTTTTGGTTAGGTGCCAGCCTAGTAGAATCTGGGCTCTGCCACTTACTATGTGACCAGGGCAAGTTTCTTAACCTCTCTGAGCGTCGATTTCTTCATCTGAAAATTGGCTAGTAACAGTACCTACCTCATGGGATTGTGATGTAGACTAAATGAGATAATGCACGTAAGCATTTAGGTTTGCACTGACCTATAGTAAACTTGCGGAAATCTTTCAGAAATATTAGCTACTATCATTAATCTCTGCTGCGCACTGAGTACACTTAGTATGGTTATGTTTGGACAATTAATGTAAGGGTATTTCACTGTACTTTAGTCATTTGATAGCAGAGCGAGGCTGATTCCAGTGAAAGGAAATGATAGTTTTGTTTCTGTTAACTGTGGTGGTTTCAATAGAGTATTTATAGAGTGACTGCTGCATGTTGGACACTGTGTAAGGCACTGCAAATGACACAAAGGAGCAGCACAAAATCCCTGTGTGGAAGCTGGGAGCTTGGGTGCTGCCTGGAATATGAAGGTGGTGATGCCCGCCTCTCCTCTCGTGCTGGAAGAGCTCACGGTGCAGCGGTAGGAACGTGAGCCGGAGTGTGCGGGAAGGGGATGGCTATGGAAGGAAGCCATGCAGCTGCCCTGGCTGAGGCCCCCGCTGCCCAAAGGCGGTGCCTTGGGGGTGGGCTGAGGAGCAGGGGTCCCACGCAGAGGGACAGCACATGCAAAGATCTGGCTAGAGAATTAAAGTTTTTTTAATGGACATAGTTTTTTCTAAACTATAGCCCAACATTGGTTTTAGGTTATACTCTCTGCCCCCATCCCCACTCGAGTTACATTTTAGTGAAAAAAATTGGGCCATTGAGAAGCTCTAATATGGATATTCTTTCCTTTAGGTGTAGGTGATTTTCTTGTACTCAAATGAGTGTTCCTTGCTGAGCCTTAGGAATACGAGTCTGGACAGACCAGACTGTGTAGGAACATTCCTAAGGAAACATGAGTAACACTGATTTCTTCTCTCCACAGTATGATTTTAGCTTTGATAAACGACTGAGCTGGAGCAGCCGTGGTTGAAGTCAGCCTACACTACAGTGCACAGTTGAGGAGCCAGAGACTACTTAAATCATCGTTAGAGCCGTGACCAGAGCAGTATATTTTTTCCTCTTTGAACAAAAAAATATTTTTGCTGTATTTTTATCATATAAAGTATTTAAAAAACATGAATTGAGTTTTTGTAGATTTCTGGTTCTCAACGTTAGCCTGAACCCCAACATGTGAAGGTGTTTTTCATCATCTGTATGTTGAAGATAGTCGTTTGTATGTAGGAACAGGACTGCCATTCCAGCCTTGCATGCCAAAGAAAGAAAGGGCCGGCTTTAAGGGGAAAATGTCAGGATGGCACAGCTGCTCTTCAAGTCCACTGAAAAGTCAGAGTACGAAACAACACTGCTGATCTGGGCAAAGGAAGAGTGAAAGTAAATTACCCTTTAGTCTACATCGTGGCAGCTTTATATGTTTAATGTGGTTTAAAGATTTGTGGGACTGTCAGCTAAGAAACTTTTCACAAGAGTGTTAACAGAAAATGACATTTCAAGAAATACATATTTCTTTGCAGAGTTTGTGAAACCATATAGGCCGTTTGCCCAGGTACCATGTAATTCCTGCTTAGAGAAAGGAAAATAAATCAGAAGAGCAAAACTTGATGAAGAAGCGTTCATTTAAGAGCCACCGTGTCTCCGCTCCCCCTCAAACCCATGTGTTGCGCTGGCTGTTGCTGGTCTTGGTTCTGTGTCCCACTTGAGCCCGTTGTATTTGAGCTCTTGGACTTCTGTTTTAATGGGTTTGGAGAGGTGATTGGGTGGAAGATGCTCATCACATTAGACGCAGGAAGAGCCGGTCATTTCAGTGTCAGTGACATGGAGCTTGTCAGTGCTCTGCCTGGTGCCAGGTTAACTGTGACGCTGCTGTCCCGCTGCACGGACCGTTTTGTGAATTGGGAGACCCAGTACAAGCCATTTCACAGACATAGCAATAGCCACCCAAACTCCCTTCCTTGGAGCTGTTTGTGACTCTGGCAGCTGGGGAGAGCAGTTAGCCTCTTCAGTTCTGTTGGCCGGGTAAAGTGAACCTGGCGCTTTAGTCTCAGTCCTGGTTTGTGCTTTAATGTTACTATCTTAAGTGTTGGCACTTAGGCAAAACATGGCTGTGTTTTATGGCTGGCAGAGTCCAAAGAGATTATTCACTCTGTTGAGGCAGAGTTGGGCGGCTAAACAAGGTGTGTGGTCACCAAAAGATCAAGTGTTGCCTGTCGTTTTAGCCTTAGCAGAAGCCAGGGAGCCACTAAGCAAAACTCCCTGTACAGACAGAGCCACGTTTCGAGGATGGATGTAGTGCCCTGGCCACTGGGGAAAGGAGCAGTGAAATGGTCGGCAAAGTAACCTTGGTTCTGCTGGCCTCTCTGGGGACTCGGAAATTGCTCCTTGTACTTATCTTGAATTTCTGCCGGGCCAGGAGACCAGAAGCTGTAACATGGGAGTTAACTTTGCTTGCATCTCTCTCTCATTTTCCTTCCGAGGCACATTCCTCTGTTTAAAAAACCAGTCCCTTCACTCTGCCTTTCTCCCTAACTTCCAGTGCCTCTTAATGTTTTGCTCAAGCTTTTAAAGCAGTGAAGCCATTGGAGAAGTGAAATCCTTGGACCTAAGAGACGGACTAGCTACTTTAAGAAGCTCAAAGGTGCTGGAAGAGGGCCGACCACGTGTTTTATCTTTGCATTCAGTTATTCTTAACAACCGAAATAGAAATCCATGTAGTTGAGGGAACCTCTGGCTGTCAGTTGAATGTTGTCAGGCAGAAGTTGCTGAGGCTGAGCAAATCAGAAAGGTGCCTTGTTTATAACAAAGAACAGGGGCTCTTTACTTCTGAGACTGGTTAAAAACAAGTAAAACCACCTTTCTTATATTGCTTGTCTGTACCAAAGCCAGGAAAGGGGGTAACTCTAGTTTTTTGTTTTTATTTTTTAGGGGCTCTTCTACAAATGATGAAAAGGGGAAACAGCACTGACTTTAAAAGCTGTGGTTATAAGGTGATAAGGATTAATCTGTGCTTTTCATTGATTGGACAGTTGCAGAGAACCACGTTAGAGGTCATTTGGTCTAACTCCTTCATCCTAAAGATAGAGAACTGAGGCCTAGAGATCGCATCTGGAATCCTGATGGTTGGTCCAGAGTTCTCTCCCTTGTCACTCCTCTTCCCTGTCCGTCTAGAAGGCAGCATCAAGGCCCCAGCCAGGGCAGACTACCATGGGGTGCTCCTGTGTGCAAAATATTTCTGTATTCGTGTTGTGTCATTTTCCCTGGTCCTTTTCCTGCCATCCTTTCAGTGGTAGCAGATGCCCTTGCTAATCACTGGAATCTCAGAGGACAGAGCTGAGGAAGCAAGACGTAAGATGCAGCTCAGTTTGTCAAAGCCTGGCAGTCCCCTCAGCCACCTTTTCATGCCACACAGATGACAATGCGATGAGTCCAAATGTGCTTCCTCTCACCTAAGTTGAGAGCTAAGAAAGCTTCCTGTGGAACTCTGTCTCCTGTGGCGCTTACCACTTTCTGTCTGGTCTTAGAGTTGCTTGTGTGCAAGTAATCTCTTCTACTAGATTGTACGCTCCTGGAGGGCAGAGCACACTCATGTTCCTATTTGTTTCTTCCTCCTGCTGCTCCTGGCACCCAACACAGTGCCTTGCACACAGAAACAATAAATGATTGTTGACTGAACATGTAAATCTGATTGTGCTGTGCTGTTGCTCTTCAGCATGAAGTCTGACTGCTGCCCTGTACGTGAGAGAAGTGAGAAGGAATGGAGCAACAGAATCCAAGTCCGCCATCTTTGTTTCAAGGCCCTCACGCTACGGATGCTCTACGACAGGCTAGGCTGGGAAAGGAAACTGCTGTATTTGGTGCACTTGAGACTTGGGAAGTCAGCCTTACCCACAAGTAATATTTTGTTAAAAGTAGTTGTGGTGAAAAGTATTATGTACCAGGTGTAACTAACTGTCCCCAAAATGTAAATAAACTTGTTCTAATACATAGAAACAGGCAGCAAGATACAGAAGGTAAGCTTGAAAGTCTGTGCTTATCATCTAGATTTCTGCCATGAGTTTATGCACTTTAAACCCAATATACTATTTTGCTATGTAGTGTAACAAAGAGTGAAATAGTGTAGTGAAACTTCAGTTAACAAGGCTGTTCAAAGAAAGGGCTGTTCTGGCTTTCTGAGGGTTTGTCATGAAACCCTTTGGTTTTCTAAAGATTTGATTTTTCCTTTTTCTCCCCAAGCCCCCTGGGTACATAGTTGTGTATTTTTAGTTGTGGGTCCTTCTAGTTGTGGCATGTGGGACGCTGCCTCAGCATGGCTTGATGAGCAGTGCCATGTCCGTGCCCAGGATTCGAACCGGCGAAACCCTGGGCTGCTGAAGTGGAGTGTGCGAACTCAACAACTCGGCCACAGGGCCGGCCCCGAAGCCCTTTGGTTTTAAGCCATACTTTTTGTGAAAATTCTAAAAGCTAGTAGCCAAATTGTTTTGCTTAGTAACAGGAATACAATCTAACAGAAGGTCAAGGCCTTAGGTCAGCCTTGTGAACTGCGGAATCACTGTCAGGACTATAGATGTCGGAGGGGTGTTCACGGAGCGAACTTGCCGAGCTCAACTTGCTCTTTGGAATCAACTCCTTGATTAAAGCTGTTGGTTTTCAGCTGCTTCCCTCTGAAGCTGGGTGGGGAAGAGTGAGGGGGTGAGCAGAATCAGCTAGCTGAGTGCTGAGGTTTGCCTGTGGCTTCCTCTGTGTATGGTTTGCTGCATCCGTCGTGGAGCAATCTTGGTTTCATTTGTATCAGTTCCCATTCAACATTAGAACTAGTCAAAATGTGAGTCAGTTTAGCAGACACTTCAATTCCTGTTCTCCGATAGAGCACCTTGTGTGTCAGAGATTGAGGGGCGTGGTAAGACTGAGTCAGACGGTACTGCACTGTCACTCTGCAGCCGTCCCTCATTCCTGTCCCCTTCTGAGGGCCCTGCGCTTTATAGAACCTCCACCTTCTTGTTGTTCCGGGGGACTTGATCTCTGACACCTGCTATCCTAGGGACCATATACTCTGGGCCAGGGAAGGAGCTTGAATCCTTCATCTGTTTTTACAGCTCAATTCACTCAAATTGACAATCTCTGAAGGACATGGAATCAAGTTAGAGAAGGAATGAGTTTTCTTCTAGAGCCTGATCTTATCACTTGATTTGATCAGCAGCCTGCTTCACAGATTGCATGCAAACTGGGTGAGAGTTGAACATGATGGCTCAGTTAAAAGCAACAAGTTTGGCTGCCACTGTATCTACTCTATCACAAAGAGACCTGCAGGGCAAGGCTGGTCCTCTGGTGTGGCTCTATGTAAGGGCACTAACTTTTGGGAGAGAAGAACAGGACTAATCCATGTTACTTGGTAATGTTCTATTACACTGGCTATAATAATCAAACTCATGGGCATTCTTGCTTTAACCATAACCTACTACCTTCCTTCCCACTCCCTGTTTTGAAGCAAATACCAGATGTCATTACATCTGTAGTATTTTTTTACCTGTCTCTGTAAGAGTTCTTAAAACACAAACCCTTAACCATAATACCAATGCTATACGTAAACTGGTAATTCCTTAGTACTAAATATCCAGTTGGTGCTCAAATTTCCCCTGTTGGCGCAAAAGTTTTACAGTTGGTTTTTTCACACTGGGATCCAAACAAGCTCTGTACATTTCATTTGGTTACTGTCTCTTAATCTGCTTGGTTCCCTCTCTTTTTCTCCTTGCAATTTGTGGAATAAACTGGGTCATCTGACATAGTATTCAAGTCATTTGTTGTGTAGAACCTCCAAATATTCTGGATTTTGCTGACTGTATCCTCTGATAACTTTTAAATCCCTCTTAAAACCTAGTCTCTGGTTGTACTGTGTGCACTGCCGTGCAGTTTGCCATACTGTTGGCTGTTAGAGGTGAGGAACTAGGCTTGGGCAGTCGGACAGGTTAAGCAGCTTGGCTGAAGAGACATCAAGTGATAGGATTTACATTCAGGTCTGATGACTCCAAAACCCCTGATTCTTACCACTACTCTACAAATTTACAAAACAATTTAAAGATAGTCAAATTTATTGTGGAGTTTTCCTGATTGCTTTGATTGTATGGAGAAAAGTCTCCTGATATAATTTAAAAAGTGTCATTTTCTTCTGTGAACTACACAGTTAACTAGAATCAGTAAAGTGGGCCCTTAAACTTCTTACCTATCTTTGACAAGTTTTGTTTTGAATATACTTTTGGTGAGGAAGATTGGCCCTGAGCTAACATCTGTTGCCAATGTTGCTAACATCTGTTCCTCTTTTTTGTTTTTCTCCCCACAGCCCCAGTACATAGTTGTATATCCTAGTTGTAGGTTATTCTAGTTCTATGTGGGACGCCGCCTCAGCATGGCTTGATGAGCAGTGCTAGGTCTGTGCCCAGGATCCAAACCGGTGAACCCTGGGCCGCTGAAGTGGAGTGCAAGAACTTAACCACTGGGCCACAGGGTGGGCCCTTCTGACAAGTTTTAACAGTCACTTTTTATACCAAGCTAAGTGGCCATCTACAGACCAAGGGAGAGGTTTGTATGGCGTAGTGGTTAAGAACATGAGCTCAGAGGCACCTAGCTTTGAGTGCCAGCTCCTTCACACCAGTTAATTTATTTAAGCCTATTTCCCTCATTGGTAAAATGGGCATTAGCGTATCTGCCTCCTCAAGCTACCTTGAGAATTCAGTGAGAATGCACATGAAGTGGCTCATCCACAGTGACTGGGCTACGGTCACTCCCGACGTATTAGCCCACTGAAGATAGCTGTTACGTGTTACTGCTACTCAGTGAGCAGACAGGTGTGCAGTGTTGTGCTTGGTGCCCCTCCATGCCCTTCCTGCTCCTGCTGTTAATTCTCGGTCTCGTTGGTGAAGTAATAGAGCACAGTCTTGGGATTCTCAAAAACCACCCGGACGCGCATCAGTGCCAGCTGGCAACCCAAAATTACCCGAGGGGTTAACAGATCTGACTCAAGACCTGGAAGGTGGCTCAGGAACCTGAAAGTTACAGGAGCCTCCCATGGTGTCTCACAGGCACTTGGCTTTAGGAGCGGACGGCGCAGGTTTTGGAATCAAATGGGTCTGAGTCCCGGTGCCACCATCTATCAGCTCTTACAGTTTCTTTAAGCTCGAGTTTGTCACCAAAAAAGTGAGCAATAATACTTGCGTACAGAGATAGAAGTTTAAATAACGTTTATCAAGTGCCTCGTACCTAATAAGTGCTCCAATATACGTTTACTAGGAGGAGGAAGTGTAGAGAAAAAGAATATTAAAACCAATTAGTTGCAGGTCTTTGCGGACAAGCAAACAGAAAAAGAAAAAGGTCTTTTCATGCAAACCCATTAATGGGGAAAAAGAGCCCATTCAAACGTATCTTCCTGGGAAAGGATCAGGCATGTTCATTTAAAGTTTATTTTTGGGACCGGCCCCGTGGCCAAGTGGTTAGGTTCGCGTGCTCCGCTTCGGCGGCCCAGGGTTTGCTGGTTGGGATCCTGGGCGCGGACACGGCACCGCTCATCAGGCCATGCTGAGGCGGCGGTCCCACATGCCGCAAGTAGGAGGACCCACAACTAAAATTATACAACAATGTACTGGGGGGCTTTGGGGAGAAAAAGGAAAAATAAAATATTAAAAAAAAAAGTGTATCTGTTCGCTTAAAAGAAATTTTAGAACATTTTTTTCATTGATAATAAAATCAAGATCGCTTTTCTGAATTCTCAGGTCACAAATTATTTTTCAGTATGGTGGATGAGGGAAAGTTCTTCAATATTTGGAAACTATTTGGTGTACAACTGCCAATTAGCTCCATTTCTTTTTTCTAAGATTTTAAAAAATTTTTCCTTTTTCTCCCAAAGGCCCCCGGTACATAGTTGTGGATCCTTCTAGTTGTGGCATGTGGGATGCCACCTCAGCATGGCCTGATGAGCGGTGCCATGTCTGCGCCCAGGATCCGAACCTGCCAAACCCTGGGCCACCGAAGTGGAGTGTGCGAACTCAACTGCTCGGCCATGGGGCCGGCCCCTAGCTCCATTCTTAACTTGAAAACAAGGAGGAACAAGAAGCCACACAGGACTTAGACTCAGAACATTTACCATATTCATTAATTTCAATTCTAGATATAGTCGATCACGGTGGCTAATTATGTCTTAAGACTTTTTTCTGAGGCTATGTCTTAAATTGCATACGGGGGACTCCAGTTGCATCAATTTAATATAGTGGCCAAAGAAGACACTAATCCTCACCTCAGAAAAGGAAATTAAAACTTGACTGAAGTCTGTGCTTGCCTGCTTCCTGCATTACGGTTCCATGCTGGTTCGGTATTTCAACTACACGGTCAGATACCGGCTCAGATACGGCGAGCTCTCGTCCTCCGCTCGTCAAGTCTGAGGGACAAGAGCCTGCTGCCACAAACCGACGGCAGACACTTACAGTTCTTGGAAGTAGTGACAGGATGATGGGATCATTTTGTTTCCTGAATCTTCCTGAACAGTTTTAAGTTTTTCGAGAAAAAATTCAGGTAGAAGTTATTAAATGACGTAACTAAAGACCATCAATTTTTCTTTTGCTTAAGTGGAAGGGAATGAATTCTTTTCGAACACAGCTAAGATTTAAGGTCGGGAAATCTTTTACATCTGATGCTG